CCAGAGAGCTAGGATTATAGGCGTGAGCCACCGCGCCCGGCCCGGAGTTTGCTTTTTAAAAGGGAACTTTGGATGTGTTTTGGTAAAAGAGTCTTTTGTACTGTAATTAATTAGTTTCTAAATTGTGTTTAGAAAGCTGTATCATGAATTTTCTTAAGGGCCAGTTGTTGAGTGTTAGCTATAATTATGTAGAGGTGTGAGGTAGACAGTGAAGGATTCCGGGTCTCTTAGGGACAAAAGTGGGTGCCGTTACACCCACCTTAGTCCCGCCCAGTCCTAATTCTCCATACCTGGGGGAGGAGCTAATACCCTATGAATCTGCCAATCAGAACTTGTCGCTCCAGCTGCAAAAGAATGCAGAGGACTCTCTAGCCCATGGGCCAAGACACATGGGTACCATAAAGTCCTGAAAGTGACCTAGAACTCACATGCGTCGTAGTTAAGGCTCAGGTTGTGTGACTCCCAACTGTCCAATCAAAGTGGTTCCATGGTGATGTCTGAACCACAAGGGAGGTCCCTATCCAGGCACTATAAAATAAGATGCAGACCACAGCCAATCTCTCTCTCTTTGCCCTTCCTTTGGCTCTCCCTTTGCTGTCCAGTTGTCATCTGTGGCGTATGTAACATGCTCTGTAAACCTATATCTTGTTCTTGCCCTATAATCCTATCTTTCTCTCCTCAATAAACCTCATTTTCATGCTTGCCTGACTTTGGCGTGTCTGGTCATTCTTCAGCCATGAGCCTGCCAAGAAGCAACATTTCAGACTGAAACCTAATAGAGGAATGTTCTGCTAGAGATAAAGTTTGTGTTTTGTCTTCCCCCTTAGCAGGAAAAGTCACCAAAAAATCTCAGATTCCTTAAAGATAGCCTCCAAGCTCCAAATGGAAACATTGGAAATTTGCACGACTAGAATTACACCTTTATAGATAACTAAGGGGTCACTTGACAAAATTCTTAAAGCGGAAGTTAGAGAATTTTTCCCAGGTCAAGAGACAAGAAAACATGGGTAATATAGATGGGATTACCTGGGAAAGCTCACTCCAACTAGAATCTCCC